CCCGACGCCACTAACACCGAGCCAATGTTTGGATCTGGGCGGATTATTGTATTTCGCATTTCATCCCGCTCGCCGGGCCCGCCGGTGTCCCGCCCCTCCCCCCGGGCAGGGGGAGGGGGGGTGCTACGGGGAGGCCAGTGCGGCGAAACCCGTGCCGGCGCCGAGCGCTGGCGGTCCCTCCACGCAGGCGCCCCCCCCCCCCCCCCCGCCCTCGCCGGGCAGGGTCCGTCGGCAGGCTCGCCTCGGTTCCGCCGCCCCCAGGGCCACTTTGCCGGCTTCCCCTTCTTCCTGCTTTTATTCCTGCGCCAGGCGCGTGGCGGGCCGGCGCCGGAGCCGCCAGCCACATGGATAGGGGGAGCCCCCCCGCTCCTCCCCCCCTGGTGGAGGCCGAATACGGGGTAACTCGCCCCCGGCCGAGGGGGGGGGGGGGCCCGGACTGGAGCGGGGAAACTGGGCTCTCCTCCGCCGGCAGGAGGCCGCCTCCCGGCGGGGCCGGGTCGCTCAGCGGTCTTGGGGCGGCCTCCCCGCTCCGGCGCTGGCGCGGCGCGACGCCGGCAGCTGTGGAAGCGGCGTTTCACGATCCCCCCCCCCCCCTCCGCCGCAACCGTGCCAGGCGAATGTGGAAGCGGGAAAACAGCCCTCCCAGCCGCCCACCCGAGGCTGGCCCCCCCCCCCGGGGGAAGCCATGCCGGGGGGTGGACCCCGCCGCGCTCCGGAGCCTGTCATGCCCCGCGCCGCGTGACCAGCGCACGATCACGCCCACCCGTACCGCCCAGTGCTGTGCGCATTGGCGGCACAGCGCCGGCACTCGCCAGCGGCCGCGTTCAGGCACCATCCCCATGCTAGTCGGGGAGCAGGGCGCCGGACCGGGGAGGGGGGGGGGGGGCCCTGCCTGCTACAGCCGGCGGCGGGGATCGCGCACCCCGGGGACCGCTGCGCCACACGGGCGATGCACCAGAGCCCCCGGGCCGCGCCTGTGCCGGGAGGCGATCTCGGCTCTGGCCGATCGCAGGTGCCGGCGGTCCTCCGGGCCCGGCCAGCGACATGGACTAAAGCCTGGCCACCCTTCGCCCGCTTGTCCCGCTAGGACCCGGGCATCTGCCGCAGATCGCCACTGGCTCTCGATCTCCCCCCCCCCCTTTCCCCTCCTCTCCCCCCTCCTCTCGCTGGTGCTCCCTCCCCCCCTCTCTCTCTCTCCCCCCCTCCCCTGCTCGGTGATCGCCTGTTGCCACGAATGCTGAACCCCTTCGGACGCGCTGGCCCACCCGGGCCGCCACGGGCCCTGGTCGCTGCGGTCGCTGCGCGTGCGGCCCTGATCGCCACAACCGCGCGCGGGCTCAGTGGGCGGGCGGTGCCGGGGCCGCCAGGCGCGCGGCGTCGTGACCCCGGCCCCCGGCGCGCCGCCACCACCGCTCCGGCCACCACCAGCACACTGCCCTCGACGCACCGGAGGCTGTCCACATCGGCCCCCGGCAGTGTGTCGATGGCCGAACTGGCGGCCGCGGCCGGTGCCGGGCCTGCCGCAGGCCGGACGGCTGCCGGGGGATCTCCCCGGCCCGGGGCATGGGGCCCCTCGACGGTCATCTGGCCGGTGGCTCCCCGGCGCCTGGACGGCCCGGGCTCGGCGGGCCCCTGGGCATCACACCTGGCCGAGGCACAGCGCGCCATCAGCGGCCTGCCGCCGTCGGTGGTGGCGGCGGCGGCGGCGGCGGCGGCGGCGGCGACGGCGACGGCCAGCGCCGGGGCCGGACTCGGCGGCCCCGGCACCACGGACCTGCCCTCGGTCGATGGACTCATGGGGCTGGCAACCCCGGTGCATGAGGCCGCTCGGTCGGCCATCTCCTTCGCCGAGGAGACGATCGAGGCGCGCACCACCAGCGGGTCCCTGGCCCCAAGTGACCAGGGCAAACGCCTGCCCGAGGCTCGGGCCCTCCTGGCCAAGGGGGACCACTGCTTGGCGGCCCTGTTCCTGTGCGTCCCTGCCCCTGCCCGTCATCCTGCCCGCCTGGCCCCCTGACCCGATGTGCTGG